AGGGTAGGCATTTATTAGCCAGTCGATTCTAAATCATACTAATGCTGGTCGACGAGAAATATAATTAAGCAAGGAACCCACTGAAACCGTTCACGCACAACGGCAACGTTTGACAGCCTATGATATAAAAAGTAGTAAAATTTAGAACAAAGGGAGGAAACAATTTTAAGGCAACCTAAAACAAAAGCACAAAAAATAAATAAATCAAAAAAGCAACAAGTTTTTTTCTGAAAAAAAAAACAACTTCATTTTAAGTGAATCATCAACGAGAAACAAGTCAATTCAAGATTCAAAACGCAGACTGTGGTGTCACTAAAAAGAAGAAAAGAGGTTAAATTGAAAAAATGAATTGAAGTGAAGTTAAAAAGTCAACTATACAACAACATGCAAGGTAATTGTTTATTAGCTAACGATACTTTGAAACGGTGAATTACGGTCAACGATATCAGTGGTGTTCTCCCTAATGTTTTGCTGAAAGTTCGGCTTTAGCTGGCTGCAGCTCAAAACCCTTTACGATTACTCCACCTATTAATCGCCGTCTCAGCTTTCAACACGTCTTCTCGCTTAATTTACTTTTTACTGTCTTGGTTTTTTGAAGGGGAATTGCTTTGGGAAGAGGTGTAATACAGGTGGAGAGCGAAGCCAGATTATTACAGCGAACTGTTGAGTCTCCCTTAGTGAGCAGCCTACCACACACTCTGCTTACAGAGAAAGAGAAAAAAAGAGTAGAAACGGAAGGTATTTTAGAAAAAAACAACTTTACTTGACACAAATCATAGACTTGCAACGAGTCACTTGCAGGTTCCGAATCCTATTGGACCATGTAGACCTTTATGCGAGCATGTTCGACAAAGATGCATGCCGCTACTCGACCAGTATGGATTTCCGTGGCCTCTTGTGATGAACTGTAATAACTTCCCTCCTGGTAAAGCCCACCAAACGCCCTAGTTTTAAGAAATCTAGTCCAAAGTTTTAAAAAAAATTACATTAAACGCTATTTTTCGTTACAGAAAATAACCAAGATTCAATGTGCATGAAGGGACCACCAACTGATGAACCAGAAGAGTCTGAAGTCAGACTGCCTTTGTTTCAAATAAAGCAGTGCAATCAAGCACAGCATGTTTATATGAATCGTACTGGTCAGTGTATTCCTTTGTGCAACTCAACTCAAGGACGTGCTAAGGTATAATAGCAAAGAATACGATTCAATATTCTGTTGTTTTCTAACTTGTTGATAGGTTTCAATAATATTAATATTTTAAGATCTGCTACGAAATGCTTTAGTTTCTAAGCAAGTTATTTTTCAGGAGGACAGAGAATGTGCAACAACAGCCCTGTTTGTCATGTCGGTAATATGTGTGATTCTCACTGGTCTTTGCTTCATAATTTACTGCTTCAGAAGACAATATTTTGCTACGCTACCAGAAATTTCACTTCTATTTTGCACCTCGTCATTTGCAATATCATCAATAGTGTATTTGATTTCACTGTTGTACCGAGATCAGGTTAGCTTAATAAATCGTAATCTTGGATTTTTTAAAAGAACAGCTTAACAGTCCTGTATTTCAAAAATACAAAACGAGAAGAATAATTCAGTTTTATTAACCCTTGCTCTGAAAAATTTTTCAATTAAGGTCTCGTGTATGGAGTATGCGACAAAATCAGTTTTTGTTGTTCCCGGACTTCAGCATATCCCTTGTACAACCGCAGCAATACTCCTTTATTACTTTGGCACCACAGGTCGACTGTGGTGGTTCGTACTCTGCTGCACTTGGAGCAGATTCGCCCTCAAGCAGCACCAAAGCACGGTAATTCAGTGACAGCTTTTATTAGTTCCATAATTCGTTAATTTTTTTCTACAATGTAGAATCGCCGAAAATAGTTATTAAAAAGTTTGTCTATTGCAATTCTAATACTTCAGGATACGTTCCTTCTCCACTCTCACATGTTCGCTTGGGGCATACCTCTAGCGACCGTAATATTTGCTCTAATGGCACAATCAGTTCACGCAGAACCGCTTTCCGGGATATGCTTGGTTGGCGGAGGCAGTCGAGTCACAGAAGCTATATTCGTCTCTCTTCGAGAAGTCATTCTTCTGCTCTGCTGCCTTGTGCCTCTCTTTTTCGGCTGTTTGGAACTTATTGGTCAGTTAATTAACCGTTTACGTGTCAAAATTAGCTAAATTCTAACACCGTCAAATAACCAAATTGTTAAGATGTGGTTACAAAACAAGCAGAATAAGTTTCAGTCAATTAAGAAGTTTTGTTTCTTTAGGATCTGCACCAACAAATGACCATTCCGTTGCTTCGTCAGGACTTTTAGGCAGCTTATACCCGATAACAGCTGCTTTTTTATTGCTTAGCTCTTTGCAATATCTTCTAACGCCAACACTGACCGGATGGAATTCAGTGATTGCCATAAAGCTGGTAGCCGATCCATTACTAGGAATTATTAGTGCAGCTGGATGCCTGTTTCAAGTAATCTTCAAGATTTTACGATCAGGCAGGTCACCAAGTCTCAACAAACAAGGATATCAAGCAGCGGTTCCTCAGTTCCGTTTACAGTTTTCACCGCCATTAGTACGATAAAAATGCTTAAATAGCGCCATAAGTTTGAAAAAAAAGTGGAAATTCAAGATTCATCCAGTTCGTCTTGATGGCCTCTATTTCGTAACAGGGTTCAAAATCGTGCCGAAAAAGTCCAGTGTTACTAAATTACAGTTCCTTGCCTCTTTAAGAAGGCCATATTGCGTACTCTTGGTTGAAAGGAGGACCGTCCTATTCAGAACAAGGACTCCAGAAGTCTTGAACGATGATAACCTTATAGCGCTTCATTAAGCAACTATGTAGGAAATTTCCGACAAGTTTTAATTGAGACACGGAGAGTGAAACTCAAGTTTCAGCTGTGACCGAAACGAGTTTTTGCGCGGCGGGTCTTGGTAAAGCAACAAAAAGTGATTTGAGATAGTTTTCCTGACGTTTGTCTTTGTAATTCATTGAGACTTTTATTCATAAAAGAGCTCTAACACGCCCATAATTATCTTCATAACTAGTTCATTTACCGCACCTGAACAGGGTTAACTGTTTTATTATTTCGTAAGTGCTGAGCTTCAGAATTGCAGCGCTACTACTACAGTAACAAAAAAAATTTTTTCTAAGTGAGCGACAAAAATCATGAAACACACTTCGTGCCTCTATGACTCTGAAACTGTCAAAGAACGAAAAAGAATTCGCTGTTTTATTCTGGATCTGAGCCTTACTGCAATCATTGTAGACACTCCGGTCCCGTACTACAATGACTTTCTTCACCGCTTAATGTATATAAAAATGAAGAGAAACTTCTTCTATGCCCGTTCCAATTAATTACTAAATTATGTCTGCTTAAGTCAGACTTGACAGTTGTCTCACAAATTGAATTATAATATCAGGCAGATGTTTTGCGGGTAGCTTCGGAGGCCAAACTAAAAAGCTTTACTCTTACTTATCGGGCTTTGTTTTCCAAAAAGCCAAAACGTTCTTCAGTTAATCCTTCAGCATTCCATTTTACTGCCTTCTGTCGTAATACTTACTAGAGAAATAAATAAATACTGGCATGAAGTGACTGAGTGTACACAAGTTTCCAACTACCTTGTACTCTTCTACCATGAAAATTATGCTTAAAAAGAATATAAAATTTTAAATTAATGAATACTACACATTATTCATGTCGATAAAAGAAGCGTTGAAAGAAACTTGATGATTTATGGATATCGAGAAACTGTTTCATAGCAGTGGCCTTTGTTTTTGTTATGATCTGACACTATACACAAAATTTAAAGAAGGGATGAAAAGTTATTTCCAAAAACTGAAACTTTTCTCGTAATCTATATAAATCTATATATTCTCGCTACAATGTATTTGTTTACAATTTTCCCTACTTGCGAAGAAATTGGCTACGATATCCTACCTGAGTTTTTTGTAATAAAGAAATAAATTATGGCTTTATGCCTTCTCTACGATAATTCAACTTTAACCGTGACTGACGTCTTCATTGACAAATTTTGTGCTGAATTCCATGAAACCTGATGGAATTGCGGTGCAGGGCAGAGCTGTCTAACACATTCTTTTCTAAAGCGATAAACCAATAAATAATTTCTGCCTTCGCATTTTAATTTTAAACCAAATCCTTACAATTCAGGTGTAGGTCCTTTAGTCCCACAACTTGTAGAGGAATACGTAAAACCGGATCCACTTCTAGAAAACTTGTTTATCACAGTTTTAAAAGAAAAAAAAACTTTCAACCTACTTCTAAGAATGTAGTCATTAATGTTTTAAATAAAATGACATTTCTCCTAAAAACTGCAACGTTTCTAACCTTAGTGAAGCAGCCAAAAGCTGTACTTTGCAAAAATAATTTTGGTTTTAAATGGTTCAGAAACTTCTAATAAGGTATCCTGTAATCAAATTTTTGTTACCCAACTACAACTGAACGTACTCTCTCCAGTTCACTGTCAGAAACCAACTCTGGAATCCCACGTTGTGTCATCTTCAAGCCATGCACCACATTCCTCACAAAGAAGAAGGAGTTGGATTTAAAAAACTGTAATATCTCAACTTTTTTATAAAATGAAGCTAACAAAGTCGCTCAAATTTTAAAGTGTTCTGCCCCAAAAGTACCGTATAGCTGAGGCGAAAATCCAGAAGTTAAACACTTTCAGTTTATAACACTACTACAAATCCTTAATTCAGGTCCCATCTAGAAATCCTCTTCTTAGAATTCTAGCAAATCCCTTACAACCTCAAATCATTACTCGCCTTATCTTAGTAAAAAGCTGAAGCACTCCGCAGCTTAGCGATGGTATAACTAACAAATAGTTGCCAATGCAGCGTTGAAAAAGTCCTTTAGTTTTAAACTCCACTTGCCGCGAAAGTAAATATCACCATCATCATCAAACTTTTCATATGGCGACAGTGACCAATTAAAGCGAGCGGATGCCAGAATCACGATGTTAAAACCTGGTAATTCGCTCATCACAATAACTGTCTCACAAGACTATGTGAAATCTTGTTTAACCTTCGTCCCCAAACTCTCGTTATTTTTTTTTTTAACTTTACAATTGCTTAACAAATTTTTATCTGCTTTATAGCAACTTACCAATTAATAATATTTACAATGACCTGTCTTTTGTTCAAAGATTAAAAAGCAACTATACGCAATCAGAGTTTAGCTCTAAAACTCAACGTGTTCAAGTGAAAGCAGTACGACAACCTAAGGTTTCTCGTGTTGAAACAAAACAATTTTAAAACGGTCCGGCAACAGTCTTCTAATTGAGTTCTCGCTAGGCCAGCGAAGGAACAAGCCTTGGCTGTTTGTATGAGGGCTTAACATCTTCTTACTGAACCGCTTAACATTACTACTTTTTGCTACCTTTTCGCCGATGTAAATTTATCTATTACTACTGTTAAGGAACATGCTAAAATTAGCTCTTTGACTAGTACCCATGAGACTAATCAGGACGACCTTAGAGCATAGTAGGTGTTCATTTCCATTAGAGTTCTTCTGTCGCCAACGTTGAACTTTCTATTTGAACATCGTCTTCCTCTTCCACTTTCTTATGCCTGCATATGACCACAACCCTATCCAGTTTCCTTCCATTGTTGCCTTTTTTGGTCGTATGCTGTAAACTTTTGCAGATTTTTACGGTAAACACAATCCTTTCTCAAGATTCTCCAGTTCCCATTCTGATCTCTTTTTTAGATGATTTCGGCATAGCTTCCCTGGCTCATCTTGATCTGGCTTAAACAATCCCGTCTCTCATGCATTTGCCGCAATAGTGAAACTCTTGAAAAACGCGCACTCTACACTTGCTTCGCTCAGAAACATTCCATCCCTTGCTAATTTTTAAGGAACCTATTTACTTTGAAATTATTTTTATAACGCGGCCTTTGCAATACAACGGTACTGAATGCAGGCGGTGCTCCTTCAAAACGTTTCTTGGCGAGGAATGGTATCAAAATACCTTATTTTCCTTGCATTTAACCTTGCCTCCTTCTGCACTCTCTCCCTGCATCTGTTCATCGAAAGATTTAGTGCTAAAATGTAATTTTAATGTTCTTGCAGCTAATTTGTATCTCACCCAAGACCTCACTACTCTTCTAACAAATGTTATGGTACTTTACCTTTGGCAAGCGTCATGATGCGTGAAACAATAATGTCTGTACTTACTCCTTCGAATCATTGAAAAATTCTCTCCATTTCAGCAAGCTTTTCAACACTGATCTTGATTCCGCCGTCTACAAAGAAATGTCACAAAAAGAGACCGTTCAGTGGCAGCTAATAAAAGATGGAGATCCACTACAGATTACGTTGCTGATTGCACAACGTTACATATAGAACCATTTAAATTTATTTACCTTATGACAACAACTAACAGAAATGCTGGTATAAGACTTGCATGAAAACCTATCCAAACCATACAAAGGGTTAGATTACGCTTTAACAAAAGGTCGTTAGAAAGTCAAAAAGGAGTATCCAACCAAATGTGACAAGAACTTTGTGTGCGAAAAAATAAAAACTGAACATAAAACGTCCTCTTTGGGAATGATTGCATCTAACTGCGATAGCTTCCCATTAAAGTATACAGAAGATTCAAAATGATAGTAGAAACCTGTCAACCAAACCCTGGTTTGGAAAGAAAAAAACTACTGCTTTTCTGAAAGTATTTGTGGTTCATTAGATCAGTAGCTCATGTCCCTAGTTTGCAGATTCAATAATATTTCTGCTGTCTCCTTCGTTATTTGAATAAAGCAGGTTTGCAAAAGTATTTTCAAAGAAAGCTGGTTTTAAAGTTCAAGAATCTTTGATGTACACTATAACTTTCAATTTGAAAATATAGTCATTTAACATAGCTGAAACTTTTTATTCTTTTAATCTCATCAGGAACGGAAGGCATGAGCACTCTAAACAACTTCCGGTGCAGTTTTAAGATCAATTGTGTGATCTTCCTTACATCGCCTTAATGCGTTTCTGTAATAATTTTTTTGTTAGAGGAGACCGGAACGTATGTTTATATTCTACTGAAAGTACTAAATATCTCATAGTTTCTAACTTTCTGACAGTACCGTTAAGATGCTCGTAAGTCTTGACCGAATTTTACAAAAGTGTGGTGCTTTGAAAAAATTAAAATTCTCGCAGACCGGTGACATGGATATGTACTTCTGAACAAGGCTTTCCAAAAAAGCTCTCCCACCAAACAAATTGCGAAAACACCAATTTCGCCGTCGTTACAGTTTGTCAAGAGAACGTGCTTTTATTACTGAATTTCAGCAAGAGCAGCCAGAGCGGCCAGTAGTGAAAAAAGACTGATCAAAACCGGCAAATTATAAGTAGCTGTAAGTCACTATAAATTAAGTCTAACTAGTAGCAAAAAGGAGGCAGATCAGATAGAATAACGAGCAAATAGTAAGGTGGTTATTGACAAAGATTCCTCATCAGTGACAAAAAATAATGTTTAAGTACCCAGTTTCAAGGTTAGCCGAGCAAGTGGTTCGTAATGCTCAAATAGTTAAGTGGTTTGGAGCGTGCAAAATTTACATAGTATTATGAAGAG